AAAACAGTTTGTGTGTGACCTGGTAATTTCTCTTCCTGGTACATACCTAAAATAAATGAAAACAGGTGTTCAAACAAAATCTTATGCACAGATATCTGTATAGCACTACCCACAAAAGCTTAAAGGTACAAACATTCCAAATGTCCATGAACTCATGAATGAATTAAAAAATGTTGTATACCCATACAATGTAATGTTACTCAGTCATAAAATGGAATGCAATGTGCCTAATAGGAGAATCTAAAAAATACACTAAGTGAAAGAAGTCAAGGAATAAGGACTAGGGTGAGGGTCTCAATGTGGATCTCCAGAAACTAGGTATAAGCCAGATGCAACACTATGTGTCTGTAATCCCAGCACTCCTGTAGCTAGATGGGAAGTAGAGATAAGCATGTACTGACACATAAGGTTATCTTCTGACCTCCACATATGTGGCACACACACACACATACTCACATAAACACATGGGCACACATACATACATGTATGATGGACACACACAGAAAAGCACAAAGATTTTAAAAAGAAAAAAGGAAAACATCAGGCATAAATGGTTAGGGCTGGCATTATGATTGAGACAGCCAAATACTGGCCACCAGGTTCAAGTGGGAAGAACAGGGAGTGACTGCTTACTGAGTGAGTAGAGTTTCCTTTTGATGTAATGAAAATATTGTGGAATTAGATACTAGTACTAGCTGCATAATACAGTAAATTTACTTTATGCCAAAGAATTATATACTTTAAAAATGGTTTAAAGCCAAATCTAGTGGCACAAGTCTATAATCCCAGGTACTTGGGGGACTGAGGCAGAAGGATCACAAGTTCAAGACCTGCCTAGGCTACAGAGTGAGCTCAAGGATAGCCTGGGAAACAATGAGACCTTGTCTCAAAAAATAAAGAGGTTTGGGGATATAAATAAGTGGCAGAGCTTTCTCCTGGCATGTGCAGGGCCTGTGGGTTCAATGTCAAGTACCACAAAAAATAAAATAAAATGCATCAATGGTAAATTTGTTATTGAATTTTATCATAATTTTTAACTGCCCATGCTAAAACACAGAAAAGATAATATTTCATCTCTACTAACATTTTCTAAAGGGGGCTGGGGATGTGGTTCAGTGATAGAATGCTTATGTAGGAGGCCATGGGTTCAATCCCAAGAGGCCCTGGGTTCAATCCAAATCACAATTTTAAAAAAAAGGAAAAGGGAAGGGCAAGTGGAAGGTGATATGGAAGGAAGAAAAGAGGAGAAAAAGGACAGGAAGAAAAACAATTCAGAAGAAAAATAAATTCCTAAAAGAAGGGCCATTAAAGGCTCACTTCTACAACAAGTCATTCTCAACAATTCAACATTTTCCAAATCAAAGATCTCATCATAAACTGTACCAGAGCTATTAAAAATGGCATTAATTCCAATTCTACTTTTGAAACTTAAGAAGTTTCTGAATAAATGCCTTTATAGCTAGCCTTTGCAGTCATCAAAGTTAGTCATCTCCTAACAATATCACAGATTTTGTAATATCTCAAACAAAACTATAAAAGACACACTCCTTTGAAAGAATCCTGGCTTTTAGCAAGAAGACCTAAGTATATCTACAAATATAGCTGGCTACTTAATAATAAATTAAGAGACAGAGGGGAGAAGAGATGGCTCAATGGTTATGAGCACTGGTTGCTTACAGAGGATCTGGGTTTGGTTCCTAGCCCACACGGTGGCTAACAACAGGCTATAACTCCAATTCTAGTGGATCTGAAGTCCTCTTTCTGACCTCTGTGGGCACTGAACTTATACAGGTGCACTTACATACATGCATGCAAAACATTTATACACATAAAATAAAAATAAACAAATTAAAAATTAAAGAGACAGAAAGCATTTTTTAATTTTTGTTATATTTTATTTTATGTGTATGAGTGTTTCACCTGTATGTATACAAGTATACCACATGCGTGCAGTGCCTACAGAGGCCAGAAGAGGGTGCCAGACCATTTGGAGCTGGAGTTAAGGATGGTTGTTAGCCACCATGTGGGTGCTGGAACGCTAACCTGGGTCCTCTGCAAAAGCAGCTAGTGCTCTTAACCCCTAGAGAAATGTTTTTTTTTCTGCACAGAATTCATCCTCATACAAAAACAAATACACAAAAATTTAAGCTCTCCACTAATTACTTTTAATTCACTAATTAGAAATCGGTTACTAATAAAACAGTTTGTATTTTCTATATTTCAATCTACTATGGTTCTTTGCAGTCATTGGGTTTATCGATTATTGGATAAGCAATATTGGACAACATAGTGAAAACAGAAACTCTTCTACTTTGTTAAGAAAAAGTTAAGCCAACACTACATACATCTAACTCCCGAAAAGAATAATTACATCAATGAATGTATACTTGTGATATAAGCATTAACAGTGGTCTAGAAGTCAGAACAGCAGGATCCACTACTTTCTAAATCAAGTCTTATTTATAATCTTTATATTCTCTTTAAAATATAAGGAAAGAGCTGGGCATGGTGGTATATGCCTTTAGTTCCAGAACTGAGGAGGCAGAGGCAGGTGCATCTCTGTGAGTTTGAGGCCACCTGGTCTATACAGTGAGTTCTAGACCAGCTGGGGCTACAGGGAGACTCTATCTCCAAATATATATATATGGAAATAAATACAGAAATATAGCATGAACGTGTACAGAAAATGTAATGGGGACTCTAAAGAGAGGCACAGAGGAGAGTGCAGCAAAAGAAAAGAGGAGCAGAAAAGACTTTTGAGAAAGGCAAAGAGAAACATACCCAGCCCTCCTCTTAGGCCACAACCTCAACAGGATTCCAGCTTTATTTCATCCACTCCTAAAATATACTTCCGTATTTAAACGTCCTTCCACTCTAGAAACATCTAGTCAAAAACTGGGAGACCACCTTGCCTGGAAGATTTGCACATTTCTAAGCTCCCACAGTTCCTTTGTATTTAAACTCTATTTAATGTATATATGAGATATTATATATGCAATTGTATATATACACTACTTAGTATATTTACATAAAAAGTATTCATAGTAATCTGAGACTAAACACAATACTAGCTTTTGTGTAAAAACTGTAAGCAGCTAAAGAAAGGATTATATTTTCCCATTTCAAAGCAGAATGCAAGAAATGTTCTTAAATTTGCAATTTTCTAAAGAGTTCAATCCTTGTCAGCAAAACTTGTAAAAATCAAAAAGTTCAAAATTCATAGCTATTAATCTTGACCCAGAAAGAATGAAAACATCACAAGATATCCTTACCAGAAGGTAAGTAACATATTCAAAGAACAAAAATGTCCCAGTAATCTATTGTAACTGAAACTCACACTCAGTGGTTGAAGGGATTGACTAGCATGCTCAAGACCTTGGGTTGGAGCCTCATCAAACAAACAAAAACACCTAAAACCAAGAGCCAGTTTTCAAAAACATCATATATTATTAAACATTCAAAATCAGCTTTTGTGCATTTTGGTTAACCTTTAATACAAGGTATGTTTCCCTCAGACCATCAAATCTGAACAATTTGAATTCATTACTCCAAAGGACTATAGACTGTCTAGAAACACCTCCCACTCTGTGTCATACCCTAAAACCTTCTGAAAAGTTCTTTGTACTAAAACAGTATAGATGAAAAAATGGATAACAAAGCCCCCAAATATTGGATGCAATCACAACTACACAGATTTTCACAACTTAAAGACCACTGATTCGTACAATTGTCTTGGTTAACAGTAACTCTTAAAAAATCACACCTGCAATCCCAAGACTGAGGCAGGAAGCTCTAAGGGAGCTCAAGGCCAGCCTGGGCTACAAAGTGAGTGCCAGTCGAGTCCAGCCTCAGCTATAGAATAAGAGTCAGTCTTAAAGGCAGGGGTGGGGGTCGTGGGGAGGGGTGCAGTCGAGGC